CCTGGCTTAGCGCCGGGTCAGGCTGTCAAGAGCCCGGAAGGAAGGAAAGAAAGAGGGGGAGAGGTCGTCAAGGGGCGCCCCCGGGCACCGTAGACCCACCCAGGAAGGTCAGGGAGGGAGGGGGGGACAGAGAGCGAGCAAGACCCCTTGAGAAAGCCCCAGGGTGNTGACCATCCATCATCCCACCCCTAGTGGCCTGGCTTAGCGCCGGGTCAGGCTGTCAAGAGCCCGGAAGGAAGGAGAGAAAGAGGGGGAGAGGTCGTCAAGGGGCGCCCCCGGGCACCGTAGACCCACCCAGGAAGGTCAGGGAGGGAGGGGGGGACAGAGAGCGAGCAAGACCCCTTGAGAAAGAGCTTCCCCAGGGTGGCAGATCCGGCTGCTTTAGGGTTGTGGAGACCTCCTGGCTGACTCCTCTCTGGCCTTCCTCTATTACTCCCCCCCCCAACACATAAAATCCACTTTTTTTTTGCAAGTCCACCACATTCCCTCTCCCATTTTACTCCCATCGCTTTCGCACATTCCTCTTGCTCTCCTTTCGCCTGATACATTCCCAGCAGCAGCTACTTGCCCTTGCTAAGGTTTTGGGGTTTGTTTGTTTTTTGGCCACTCCCCCCCAATCACCCCATTCCTCCTTCCTTCCCATTTCTCATTTCTTAACTTTTTGCCTTGGACTGGTTGTCTGAATCTTCTAATTGTCTAGTGCGACTTTTACCTTCACTTCCTGTTTTTTTTTCATTTAACACCTTGCTTTCTGGACACCTGTATTTTTCATATTGTTATTCATTCTTCTCTTTTCTTCCCCTCTCAGGTATTACATCATCCCTCACCTCATCCCTGTAATTTTTCAATTTTAAAGGGAGCCTCTTTCCTCCATATTTATTATTCTCTTTGCAGTTTTGGACCTGTTTTTGCATATACTCCCACAAAGCTTTAGTCCACCTTGAAGAACTTTTTGCCCCATCCCTGAACACTTTCAGCATCATTATTTAGTCCTCTTTCCATATTTAGCCTTTATTTTTCCTGGCTTCTGAAGTCTATTACAGCTTTTCTCTAAAGAAAGCCTATCAGGGTTGATTTGCCCTCCTCCTCTTACATTTTAATATTTCCATCTGTAAAATTTCACAGTGGGTTTTTTTTCTTCCATATTCTCAATCTTTCCTGCTTCCAGTTCTCCTTATCCACTTTGCATCATTCCCCAGCTTTCATCCTTTAAAAATAAAAACGCCTTTTTTTGCCTTTTGTGACATTAAACTCTTATCTCTTTCATGCTGCTTGATCACCTTTTTATTCTTCCTTATATAAAAGTCTCATTTCTTACAGTTCTCTTTTCTCTATGTTTTTTCTTTCATCCTGATTTTTTCTCAAATGTTTGATTTCCTAAGTTTTCCATTTACCATTTGATTGCTTCTCCTGCAGATTCCTTATTTGCCTACGTCATTCTTTTAGTTACACTGCCCTAATTTTTGCTTGATTTTCTTGTTCTTCTCTTTTCACAATTCTTAGTTATTTTCTCCACCACCAGGTTCTCTCATCTTACATCCTCTCTCCTTAGGTTTTTTAGTTTTGTATTTCTAAAAATTCTTGCAACCTCTTTATTCCTCATCCTTGACAGTTTCCACTGTCTTACTTCTCACTTCCTACACATCTTTTTAAAAAGTCTCTTCTGTCAGTTTTATTTGTTCTCCTTTAATTCTTCCTTCCTGCTCCATTTTAGTTCTGGATCACTTCAATCATTCACTTTCTTCTCCTTTCACCCTTCTCATTAATTTTCTGACATCTCATTCCCCACTTAACGTTCCTTGATTTATCTAGCTACTTTCCATGTCCTTCCAGTGAAAGTTGTTTGTATCCATTCAGATTTAATATTAAAGGTGGATGGATGTACACACAGAACAGAGTGAAGTAAAGTTGTAGAAGGATTTGTGGGAGCTTCCTGCACATACTGAAAGAAAACGATGTGGGAATGGAAGGGGTGGACTTGTCAGTACTCCTAACATTTTCTAGGGGGGTAAAGTCACATTCTTTTTCTGGGGGGGAGGGGGATTAACTTAAATTTCAAGACTGGCGCAGAAGAGGCAGAAGAAGGATGGCATTCTAGTATCAACTGCACCAGCCATCTTGGGGGGAAGGGGGTTTCTTGCATGCTCACACGCACCCAAAAAACCTCCATTTTTTCCGACTCAATGAAGATGTAAAAGACCTGTTGAGCTCCATGGTTTTGAAGGTGGGCAGCTTGCTTGTGAAAGTATAGAAAACTTCATTTCTGTGGCCAAATGACAGCTTGACCCAGTGGTTATCCAACGAGAGGGCATCATCTTGAATGTCTCTTTGTGGTGCCACAGCCAGCGCAAAAATGATGGCCGCTTATAATGGCGGTACATCTGCGGCCGCAGCAAGTCACCACCACCATCACCACCACCTTCCCCACCTTCCCCCTCCCCACCTCCATCACCACCACCACCCTCAGCACCACTTGCACCCAGGCTCAGCAGCCGCCGTACATCCTGTACAGCAACATGCTTCTTCAGCCGCCGCGGCCGCTGCAGCCGCAGCCGCCGCAGCCATGTTAAACCCAGGGCAGCAGCAGCCATATTTCCCATCACCGGCACCAGGCCAAGCCCCAGGACCCGCGGCAGCAGCCCCAGCTCAGGTACAAGCTGCAGCAGCGGCTGCAGTCAAAGCGCACCACCATCAGCACACGCATCACCCACAACAGCAACTGGATATTGAGCCAGACAGGCCTATTGGATATGGAGCCTTCGGTGTTGTCTGGTGAGTATAGGGAAAGAGTTTCCCCTCTGCGCCCTGGTGGCTACTAAGCGGGGATGGGGTGCTGACTCCTGGCCTGTTTTTCAACAGGTCACTGTGTGGATCTGTAGTAGCTGTTTTGTGAACAGGTTAGTTACGAATGTCTTATGATTGTGGTGGCCTTCCGTCAGTCTGTAAGTTTGGTGTGGCAGAATTAACCCTCAGGAAGCATTTTTCATTCTGGTGGAGGTGATCAAAATAATGGATACCTTGGCACTGGTTTTTGCAGCATAGTTATCCTGCCAAATGTGCAGTTTAGGTATTGCCTCTAAAAACTGGGGCAGGCCCTGAAGAAATTTTGATGCAGACTTAACAGTTCTCAGCTGGCAAGCTAAATGGATTTCTGGTTTTATTCTGTTTGCAGTTCTTTAAAGGTTTCTGCATATACTTATCTCAGTTTTATTTGAGAGCAGGAAATTTAACAACCGTTGGAAACTGGTGCTTTAATGTTTCCAGGTCTTTGACGGATGTGTTGTCTACTCTGGTGTAGCAGGAAGTGGTGTGCTTAATCCTATGCCTTAAATTCTCATTTAGAAGGGAATATCATGGAGTCCAGTGGGGAGATCTGTATCTCTCCTTGAATGCACTAGGACAACAAGATGTAAGTAGGTGTAGAACTGCCGCCTAATCTGAGTTGGATTATGTCTGAAAATTCCTCCATGCTAGATGGTGATACTTTTCTAATCATTCAGCTACTGCTTCTGGACTTTGGCTTTTCATGAGACCTCAGCAGACTAGTTTTATGTCAGAATATCAATTTTTGGGGAATAATAGAATTTCACTCATGCCTTTCTTAATTGTAAATGGAAAGACATGGAAATGACCTCTGGATTGAGTAGCTAGCTGGAGTTGGAAGCAGTTTCTGTTTTGGCAGTGACTAGAGTCTGCATTTCCCCTGCAGTCTAGTTCCTGAAACAATGATCTCAGCCCTTTGCACCTTACCCAAATGGATTTTTCCATTCTACTCCTTTGATTTATCATGTTCCTGTCACAGTGATGTGGCCCCAAGAGCACTGAACCTTGTGCAAGAAACCTGTCTTTTTAAACAAGTTCTTGTTTGGCCTTAGGTATGGATAAGTCAGCTTTGCTGTCTCCTCACTTCTTGCATGTTACCTGTTGACATGAACCCAGAAATTCACATAGGCTTTCCAATCTTTGTCTTTTATTTTGTGATGTGTTTAGTAACTTGCTTTTTTGCAGTGAGATATTAAGCCAAACATGCATAAACAGTCACTCATGGAAAATAAAAAGTCACAAAATGGGTAAAAGGATTATTTTTCTGTGATCTCTCAAGTTGATCCAGTAGAAACCTTTCTCTTACTTGGGACTGTATTCATTTCTACTGCAAGGATAACTATTCTTGATTCAGCAAAATCCTTTTTTTGTCCTGTAAGCTAGCATTGCTAGCTTCAAATGTCATGCTGTAGTTTTTCACTACGCTGAACTGAAACTATTCTGCGTATTAATGTTGTGATTTACTGGATTAATATGCCCTGGAGTTGAGCACTTTGGAGCAGAGTACTTTAAACTGCTAAAGTACAGCTAGGCTTATACTAGCTACTGAAAGCATCATGCAAGTGTATTGCTTAAACAGGATCCCATGCAAAATGTTGGCAGAAATACTCTTGCTTAGCATAGTTATTTCTTCTAGAGTAGGCCCATTGAATCTGGGAATTTGTTAAGTCAGTTCCTTTGTAATCTCCATTGATTCAAATTGGCCTACTCTTGTTCCTCTGGTGTAGTAGTCAGTCAGTTTAAGTTTACAGTATTGTATTAGCTAAAAGCCGTCACAATTGTTTAAAATACAAATATGTTCAAATAATATAATATCACAGTAGTAACTGCACGAGAGTAGGCTCATCTGTATCAGTGGAACTTACAAAGAAGTTGACGACCAGATCTCTGCTGAGTCAGTGGGCCTACTCTAGTGGGACTTGATTATACTAAGCAACAGAATTTCAGCCATAATTTAATCTGAGAGCACCCAAAAGTTTAAGTGGGGGCTTTGTTTTGTAGATGCTTCCAAGTCAGATTTTTTTTGTCTAATGTACTTTCAATGTTCCTTGTTCTTCTTCCATAATTGATGCAGAATTTAAAACTAGGACATGTACCTGTTCATCTTCATTCTGGACTGGAGTTTATTGCTGGCTATGCAGTAAATGTTACGGATGAGAACTTCAGGACACTTATGTTGACTTTCATGAACTTTTCCATCAGTGGAAAAAGACTATTGCATGTTTTTCCACATACATAGTTCAGGACAGATTAAAATCTTACAGCCGCTGAGGGCTGTATTCACCGTGACAATAGCAGAAGGCATAACATTTTGCTGAAGTCACAAGTGAGCTGCTTTTGCTCAAATGTGGCCTTTTCAATAGTTGAGAATGATAACTATCACCAACCCAAATGGCAGTCCAGAATAGCTTGGAACCCCACACATCAGCTACACCTGTTTTACAACAGTGGAGGAAATGTGATTCTCTAAACTTGTTGGACAGAGGTTTCTGTTATCTCTAACCTGCATGGCCAGTTGTGTGGATTATTGGAATTTCTGGCCAGCAACATCTAGAGGGCTACAAATTACGTAAAATTCTACATAATTTGCCTGAGCATCTTTATTCAGAAGTACTGGATTTGTAATGGGAACTTTCCATCTCATTGAAAAACTTAGTATTCAGCCACAGATCAAGATGTGGTTAAAATACTTAGGGATGTCTTCAGCCCAATGTAAGTTGACTGTTAACCAAGAAAAACAAGTAGTATTTATTGTTTTGGTATGCTAGTAGTATATATAAAAACGGGGGTGGGGGGGTGTCCTAGGCCTGATCCGTTACTAACATGGAAAAAATATGTGTCTGGACCTTACTACATGTTTGCTAGTGTGGAGTGTATTGGGCTAAGTGGTAGCTCATGTTCTGGAATCCTACAGATTTACATGGCAATCCTAAATGGCAAATAGCATATGGGGAGGATGTCTTCTCCCATAAATTTGCATTCTGCCATGCAGGGACTCCCTTGCCATCTGAAGTGGTAAATCCCAGGCACATACTGTTTTGAGGTTTGTTTGTTTTTTAAATTTTGAGCTAATCATCATCTTTGAACTGCAGAACTGGAAGGGACCCTGTAGGTCCCTTGTCAGGGGGGCACAGTGGGAGAATCAAACTCTCAACGTTTGGCTCCACAGACAGATATCTAAACCACTGAGTCGTCCGGCAGTTCTGTTATGTTTCTAACAAAGACGTGCCGTGTAACTTTGAGGCAACTTGTGAATCTCATGAAATCCATTTGAGTCATTTATTTAGTTTCAAGGTTTTCTTAAACAATAAGTAAAGGGAAAAACATGGAAAGTGTTCCTTTTTTACTGTATATGAAGCAGGTTATAGAAGTTCTCTGTTATGTCACTGATGTCTGTGCAGCAGTACGAACTCTAATCTTTAATTTCCAAAAGTTTCTGCTGGTTCTGTAAGTTAAAGACTTCCTGGTTCTCCACAGTGAAAGAGATTCCAAGACTGTCTTGGGACCTTCAGGAAGAATAAAAACTTTTTAATTTTCTTTTTAAAAAAACACACTTGATTGTGGCTGAGGGTGTGTTAAACATTTCATCCTTACATGGCAGAAAATTGCACCAAGTTCTTTTGAATTCTTCACTGTTGGCCTATTTCATTAAGAACTTACACTTTCTGATGAAGAGATACAGTATTCTACTCTTCCTTTTCCTTCTGCCATCTATTGGGGGTGGGAAATGAGGATTTTGAAAAACTGAGCTAGATATTTCTCTTTTTCCTATTTTGCATGATGGTTAGAATGGGCAAAAGTGGCACAGAAGTATATCTTTTTGATGAGCAACATTGGATTTCAAGGTAATTTTGAACCTTACTGTGTGGGCTCCCTGACTAGAAATATAGTCTGGGGCCTTCTATTGTAGACTTTTAGATTGTAATTGAATGATTAACATTTGTAGTATTTTTTTTAAAAAATAAATTATCAGGGTGTTTGTTGTTTTGAAGCAGTGATGGCAATCCAGTGATTTAGGCAGTAAGAGATTCCGGTGGGTTACCAGCAGTTTTAAAAAGTCATTTTAATTTTGTTGCTTCACAGTAAACCTAACGACATGCAAGCAGGTTCATTGTTAACATTTATCCTTTGATTTGTAACTGCTTTGTGAAGAGTGAGGAATTGTCTTAATACAGTATAACAGCTATGCATTAACAGTGCTGTAACAAGGGTCTTTGCCAATGTTCCAATTAAAATTACTAGAAATTCAGAATCTGGATTTGCTTAAAATGAAGTAAAGAGCTCATTCTTGGGCCAGTGGTGGATTTCACTGAATAGCAAGTGCTTCAGAATCCAGATTTCACAAGCTAGCCTGGTGTTGATAACTCTTGGATTGTTGGGAACTGCTGAAAAGCATTATTCACACTTTGCTCACACTTACAGATCCTTCCGAGTTCAGTAGAATGTATTTGTAAACTCCTCCCTGGGAATTAGCAAAAGGGGAGTTGTGTTATACAGTATTGTTCTCTGGATTGATGAAGTATGTCTATTTTTAGTGGTGTTTAATCTCTCTTCGGGACCACAAGTAGGTTGTTGGCATTATGCTGTACACAGTATTCCCCAGTGAGTATCGAAAAGACATCCTTGGTCAAAATAAGTTCCAGGTGCACTGTAGAGCATGATGCTCTTTATAGAACATGAACTTCCACTGGGGAATTGCCTTCTGATCAGGTGCCTGAAAAAAACAGCATGCAGTTTTGAAATGATGGATGTTGCCGTATATAGCTAGGATGCATCAGTACTGAAATGTGCCTAGACGAACCTCTTAGCGGCTTGGTTGCGAAATAAAAGCAGAGATCATATCACAGGCCCACTGAATTGTGGGAAAAAGGCCTAACAATTGGGTTGAGGTTATGCAGTATGGCCAATCTTTAGAAACATGAGAAACAGCTTTATATCATGCCAGACTC